CTACCTCCCAAACATTCCCTCTGGAAGTTTTGCCAAAGGAAACTTTTCACACCCATTCTCCCCAAGTCAGGCTTTGGTGGCATGGGAGTGTGACTGAAAGTAAACTTTGAGTTAGAATTGCATTTTGCTCATTATCTTCTCCACTGTTCCTTGTTCCTTGTGTGGAGTAATGCTGGCTTATAATCAGTCACTTTTACCGGCAAGACAGTCACCATGCAGGGGAGGAGGAAAAGCAACTGGCTCCTTCCGTGGGTCTCCAGTGTTACACACAAGAAGATTCTCAACTTAATGTAACACCTGAGATGAATTAGCTGAGCTTTCTGTGCTACAGGAAAATAAAGAAGGGGGTGGTGGGTGGGAGAAGGTGAGCAGATAGAGTAGATAATTTAAATTCTCAGAGAATCCAGATGTCAGTTCATGGTTTCTACCTTCTTCTTAAACTCCTCTTCCAAAATCAAATGGAGGGATTTATTTCACTTCCTTTCTGCATCGCCACACATGGTGGCGTAGGGCAGGGTGAGTGACAAAGTGACTAGAGGGGACTGTGGGAGGGAGAGGCAAGATGACTGAACAGCCTACACACTGCATGTCAGAACTAAGTGACAGAATTGATCAAACGCTGGACTATGAAATGTTGCCAGTGAAGATGCATAAAGTAATAAAAACAGTGAAAATTCCACATGCCCGGGCAAACTTCTGCCCTGCAGTATCTGCTCTTCTGTTTTATGGGCCCAGCCCAGCACAGAACCAAGCAAAGGTGAGGGCCGGAGGGCATACCACTCCCCAGGAAGCCGGGCGTGGATAAGGGCATCCGAATGTTTGTTTGGTTGAGTTGCTATTTCACCATTGTCTGCCTTGTTACCAGTTATGACATGTGCCCAAGCGGCCTTCTCCCCTTCATTCCACTGGCATTTGTTAAAAAAACATTCGCCGAGATCCAGTCTGGATGTGTCTTTTAGCTTGCCTGTAACTTTCCACTTTAAGGGAGATGTAATAAGGAGTTTACAAGTCCTAATTGCACAGCTTTTTAAGAACAAGGATTTTTTTTTTTTAAGATTTTTAATTTATTTATTTGAGACAGAGAGAATGAGAGAGAGAGAGAGCATGAGAGGGGGGAGGGTCAGAGGGAGAAGCAGGCTTTCCGCAGAGCAGAGAGCCCGATGCGGGACTCGATCCCAGGACTCCAGGATCATGACCTGAGCCGAAGGCAGTCGCTTAACCAACTGAGCCACCCAGGCGCCCCAAGAACAAGGATTTTTAAAGCATAAACCTGGGAGAAATTCTTTTTTTTTTTTTTTTTAAGATTTTATTTATTTATTTTAGAGACAGAGCACAAGAGGGGGGAGCGGGAGAGGGAGAAGCAGACTCCCTGCTGAGCAGGGAGCCCGATCCGGGACTCGATCCCGGGACTCCAGGATCATGACCTGAGCCGAAGGCAGTTGCTTAACCAACTGAGCCACCCAGGCACCCCGAGAAATTCTTATAAAGAGGAAAGGAAGAGGGAAAACTGGATTCTGGTTCTTAAATCCCCCTAGGCATTATGCTTCTTGGTCCTTGGCATCAACTAAAGAGAAGCAGGAAAAATTATTGATCCACATTGGCTCATAGAGATATCCAGCCAAAGGGGGAAGTATTCAGGATGGTCATGGTCTGTCTTGGGCTCCATTCCTGTCTCCTACCACAAGGCCTAGTACATGGTAAACCCTGAATTAGTATTTGTTGAACGAGTGAATGTATATGATTATTTTTGAGGGGACAAAGAAATAAAGAAGTGTAGTTTCAAAAGGATTTTTCTAAGTATCTACACCCGAGCCATTAGCCCACAGGACCAGAAGTTGGGTGAGTGAGATGCAAGGTCCAAGGTGCGCGACTGGAACATTCACTTTCAGTTTGTGCACGTTTCCATGCCACTTGTGTGCTCCTGAGACCGAGCGCTGCCTTAAATATTATACCCTGGCTGCCCCGCTCACCTCACTCTAGTCCCAGCCCTGCTACTCCATCTAGGGCCTACAGAATATTTCTTAGAAATTATTTCTTCCTTGGGTTTGGTCCACTAAGTCTGCTCTGAGCCTCACAGGAAACATTGCCGGGAATAGGGACAGAGGCAGCTCCCACCCGGGAAACCAATGACCTCAGAGCCAAGAGGTGTCAGGTGGACCTGGGTTTACTCAGCACTGAACTGTGTACTTGAAGAAGACTATTAACCTCTGCAGCTTTCTTTTCTTCATCAATAAAGTGCAGAAAATAATACCTACTTCACAGGATGAGTGTGAGCCTTGGGAGTAATACACAAAAGGTACCAAGTACAGTGCCCAGCACATAGTAGGTGCTCAGCCAATGGAAACTTTTGTTGCATCATTATTATTGGCAGTAGCAGCGGTGATGCTGCCCACAGCGCCTGGCCAGCTCCTCGAATGGGAGCGAGCACACGTGTGGACTGGCCACAGAAATTTGCAGAAGCTGTATTGCAGCACAGAATTGATAGATCCGGGCAATTCACTCTGACTGTGAGCCAGGTGCTGGGCTGGTTTTCCTGTGTTTTCTCCCATCCTGACCACAGACTATTCTTATTTGATTATCTATACTCATGGACGACAGATAATTTTTTAGCCGAGGTATGTCTGGTGCAACATCGGGGACCTAATGATGCTGGAAAAAAAATTAATTTGCTTTCAGCAATTCAAACGTACCTGACATCCTGCATTGGACCTGGCAAACCTTGCCGGGGAGTTGTTAGCACAGGGACTTGAAAATGGTGCCTGCCACTGGGTGTGTCTCTGGAATGCCTGCTTGCCTCGGGGGCTCAGCACACTGTGTACTAGCAGGTGAACCTCTGAAGCTGTTCTTGGTTCTTCTGGCTCCTGGCTTTCTCCTCTCTGCCTCTCTTTCCCCAGTAGCGTCTCCTGCGGCACGGCACGCAGGAAGTATGGGCACGGCAGGAATGCACTTGACAACTGGCGGTGCAGATGGGAGAGGCAGGGCGAAGAGAACTGGTTTAAAAATATGTACTAGTAAGCTGGCCCACGCACCTCAACCAAACTGCTGGGGAAATGCTAGCTGCTTTCTGGGCTTGCCACCACCCCCACCAGCCCCCTATTTAGGGGCTCTTCTTTCTGCTGTGTGTTTCATAAGAGAACAACAAGAGAAAGGGCTCTTGGTGTGAACTTTCGTTAATGGAAGCAGAATTTCAAAAATATGCCTCAGGGTCCTTGATGGCATTATGACATTCTGGGCTGTGTCAATGGATAATCCTCCAAAAAAAAAAAAAAAAAAGGAAAATCGTGACTGTCATACAGAAATAAAAATGAATACATGTTAAAGATTTTTATTTAACGCATTCATGAGAAAACTGGTGTTACAACCAGTTGAAAAAAGGTAATAAAAACCATACATCTGTATGCAATAAAGGAATGTTGAAATGAAAGAGCAAATACACATAAAACTGGCTTAGGGGGTGTTGGGCTGAGTTGTATCTCTCAAAATTCCTATGTTAAAGTCCTAACCCCATGGGCGCCTGGGTGGCTCAGTTGGTTGAGCGACTGCCTTCGGCTCAGGTCATGATCCTGGAGTCCCGGGATCGAGTCCCACATCAGGCTCCCTGCTTAGCAGGGAGTCTGCTTTTCCCCCTGACCCTCCCCCCTCTCATGTGCTCTCTCTCATTCTCTCTCTCAAATAAATAAATAAAAAATCTTTAAAAATAAAAAAAAAATAAAGTCCTAACCCCCAGGTACCCCAGACTGCGACTGTATTGGGAGATAGGGTCTTTAAAAGAGGCGCTTAAGTTAAAATGAGGTCATTAGGATGGGCCCTAATCCAATATGACTGGTGTCCTTATAAGAATAAATTAGGACACAGAGACCCACAGCAGGAAGATCATGGGCAGACAGGAGAAGACAGTCTTGTAGAAGTCAAGGAGAGAGGCCTCAAAAGAAATCAGTCGCACTGACACCTTGACTTTGGACTTGGAGCCTCCAGAACTGTGAGATAATAAATTTCTGGTTTTCAAGCCACCCAGTTTGCAGTACTTTGTTATCTTAGCCCTGACCAACTAATGGCGGTGGGGGGGGGGGTTATTTGCATGTCTATAGACAAGAATTATTTTGCATTCCCATTAGTTATCTGGTTAATAGAGTTGTAAAATAGCTCCTTCAGAGTCAGATAACCTCTTCAGTTTAGTAGTAAGATAATTTATGACTAGGATCCGTAAATTACTGCTTGTGCGCCAAATCTAGTCCTACTACCTGTTTTTTGTTTTTTTTAAAGATTTTTATTTATTTATTTGAGAGAGAGAATGAGATAGAGCATGAGAGGGGGGAGGGTCAGAGGGAGAAGCAGACTCCCTGCCGAGCAGGGAGCCCGATGCGGGACTCGATCCCGGGACTCCAGGATCACGACCTGAGCCGAAGACAGTCGCTCAACCAACTGAGCCACCCAGGCGCCCTACTACCTGTTTTTTATAAATAAAACTTTATTGGCACACAGCCATACTTATTCCTTCTTGCATTATCTGTGGCTGCTCTCCTATTACAAAGGTAGAGATAAGTAGTTGCCATTTGCAAAGTCTAAAATATTTACACTCTGGTCTTTTACAGAAGTTTGCATATCCTCCTCCAGGCAATGCATCAGTTTTCCACTGAAGCACAAATGTTTCCTTACAATCAGAGCGTTCAAGGTCATTTGGTTCAGGGGTTCCCAGATTTTGAAATCTCACAGGTCCGTAAAATTTCAAAAAAAATTTGAGGGATGGTCAGAGGGTCTCCAATTTTACTTTTATAAAATATCAGCTGCGGGGCACCTGGGTGGCTCAGTTGGTTAAGCCACTGACTTCAGCTCAGGTCATGATCCTGTAGTCCCAGAATCGAGTCCCGCATCGGGCTCCCTGCTCAGCAGGGAGTCTGCTTCTCCCTCTGACCCTCCCCCCTCTCATGTGCTCTTTCTCTCTCTCTCTCTCTCATTCTCTCTCTCTCTCAAATAAATAAGTAAAATCTTTAAAAAATAAATAAATAAAATATCAGCTGCTTCATAAAAAGATTTGTATGTGTGTGTGTGTGCGCGCAAAAAGGTGATTTTATTAAAGCATGGGGATAGGACCCATGGCAGAAAGAGCTGCTACATAAAAAGATATTTTGAAGTAAATAGTGCATGAGAAACTTTGCTGCATTGTACTTGCTTTCATTTCTCTGAGGTTTGGTAAAACCTCACCAGGAACCACCACAGCTCATGGTCTAGTTTGTGGAACCAATAATCTGGCCTAACTTTAGGCACCAAATGCTGGCTCTGTCCAAGGGGACTCTGCTGGTTTAGACCAGGAGTCAGGTCTGGTGAAACTCCCAGGATCCAGGCTGATACCCTTCAGCCAGAAAGGGGTCCTCAGGGACTGATTATTGCCAGAGCCAGCTTGGGCATGCCCCACACACCGAGGTCCAGCTATGATGGAGCCCGACTTGCTTTAAATAATACATTTTTTTCCTGATTTTAAAAATAAAAATGTGGTCAGTACAGAAAACTTGAGAAAAAGTGGGAAGAACAAAATTCATCTCTACCCAGAGAGATATAAAGGTTTACTGACACACATGGGCAACAAAAGCACTTTCCAATCTAAAAATCGTAAAGGGAGAAAACCAAGCATCTCTCCCCAAACCAAAATGGAGCCTGGCACACGCAGGTAGCGGTATGTATTGAACAAATAACTAAACCTAAATAACTGCAATTATTTATCCTAGATGATCCAAGAAAACTCAGTAAGTCTTTGAAAAATTTTTTGATAATCAAAATGGCTAATATGAGGGTGCCTGGGTGGCTCAGTCGTTAAGCATCTGCCTTCGGCTCAGGTCATGGTCCCAGGGTCCTGGGATCGAGCCCCGCATCGGGCTCCCCGCTCCGCGGGAAGCCTGCTTCTCCCTCTCCCACTCCTGCTGCTTGTGTTCCCTCTCTCGCTGTCTCTCTCACTGTCAAATAAATAAAATCTTTAAAAAAAAAAAAGGCTAATATGATAAGTCTTCCTGGCACCCCCCTTCTTGCATTTATTTTTTTTCCTTGTGTCATTTTTTTTTTAAACTCTTAAGATTTAAAACTGCCCAGGACATCTCTTTAAGAAGCAAGGATTATGTATTTTCACTTGTTTTCATGTCCAAACAATTTACATAAATCAAGTTTTATTATTAAAATGCCCTAATGATACATACAATATAATAACCTTTAAAAATTGATCAGGTAGACTCTCATGATTTCAAGACGTGTAATTTCTAAGAAGCCAATTAATTGAATTTTCACTTCCATGCCTGGTCACCTAAATAAAAAACATCTTAAACCTGGTATTGAAAATAAACAATTGAGAGTATTTTTTAACTCTTTGTGGCATGCAATCTTTTTTTTTTTTAAAGATTTTATTTATTTATTTGAGAGAGAGAGAGAATGAGAGACAGAGAGACAGAGAGGGAAGAGGATCAGAGAGAGAAGCAGACCCCCCACCAAGCAGGGAGCCCGATGTGGGACTTGATCCCAGGACTCCAGGATCATGACCTGAGCTGAAGGCAGTCGCTCAACCAACTGAGCCACCCCAGGCGCCCTGTGGCGTGCAATCTTAAACTCAAGAATTCATCACTGTTTTCTTTGAAAACCTCATGCATACCTTCTGCTTTGATGGTACCTCTATGTCCCTTCCTGCAACTTATCCATCTCCTTTAAACCGATCTCCTCCTGTAGGAAACAAACATTCCAGATAACCTGACAAACTGGAAGAATAAAGATGACTTCACTCTGGTTCTTCTTTGTCTGAATACCTCACTCATATATGTGTTTGTTTCCCCTGATGTTTCATTATGTTTATGAAACTTCTCTATAAAAACATAAGCTCAATTTCACTTTTGGAAAATAAGCAAGCATCATCCCCTTTCAAAAATCACTTTCTTCTTTTGGTGAAACATCTGGTTTCGTCTTATTTAAGTCTTTACTTAAATCCCACCCACGACCTGCGCAGATGGCTCTACATTCACTTATTTCTCTCCATCTCCGATATTTAATCTCCCCGATCAGCTCTGTCTCTCACCTGCCCCACCCTTTAGCCAGAAGCCTCCTTCACTCTGAAGTGGCCCAGGTGGGTCCTGTACCTAGCATGTGATGAGGATGGGGCCTGGGATGGACTCCAATGTCTCCATTTATTCTAATTAGTTTTTTCTTTCATTGTGCATAAAAACTTTCCTTTTAAACTGCTCCCTGGGACGCAGCTCTCTTCCATCTCTCACCTCCTTTGGACCTTTTAACTAAGGTGGCCAAGTTTAGCTCTTACTAGTGTGTTCCCTGACCTAGAATCATTTGACCTGCTGCTACTTACTGACTATAGTCTTCAATTTATTATGCCCCTACAGTATGCAAGTCATGTGCTATGTGCTTCATATACATTATTTCTAGTCTTTGCTACACCCCTCCCTGAAAAGCTGTGTGACCTTGGACAAGCTACAGAACATCTCTGAGCTTCAGTTTCTCATTTGTTTAAGATTTGTTTATTTATTTCAGAGAGAGAGGGAGTGGGGGAGGAGGGCAGAGGGAGAAGGAGAGAGAGAATCCCAAGCCGACTCCCCACTGACCACAGAGCCTGATGCTGGGCCTGATCCCATGATCCTGAGATCACGGCCTGAGCTGAAATCAAAAGTCATATGCTCAACTGACTGAGCCACCAAGGTGCCCCAGTTTCTCATTTAAAATGTGAATAATAGCAATGACAGGAGTCTGCATTCTACCCTACACCATATAGCCTCTCTTAGACAGTTGTCTTATTTCTCAATGGTGTCCCCCAAATGTCCAGGATAGGGCTCAATGTGTAACTTAGCTCAATACATATTTACTTGGTGATTGTTTGAATATAGTTATCTTACTCAATTACTTTCCTGAGTTAGTTTTAAGAAATGAAACACAGGGCGCCTGGGTGGCTCAGATGGTTAAGCGTCTGCCTTCAGCTCAGGTCATGATCTCAGGGTCCTGGAATCGAGTCCCGCATCAGGCTTCCTGCTCCTTGGGAGCCTGCTTCTCCCTCTGCCTCTTTCTCTCTCTCTGTCTCTCATGAATAAATAAAATAAAATCTTTAAAAAAAAAAAAAGAAATGAAACACAGATTTGTATTAAAGTTTATCAAAAGCAATAGACATTCACATTAAGGAACCAATGCAATAAGACATTACTTTTAAATGTCTAATTATAAAGCTAAATACTAAGACCTCTACTCTTGGAATGCTCTAGTTAGTTGGATTTCTGTTAACTGTGAATTTGTTTTTTGTTAAAATAGACTTGTTACGAATTTCATCAAATTTTAATCTACTTTCTTGCCTTAGGAAAAAGAATCTGCTGGACACACCTGTATGTGCTTTGATGACCCAGGACTCTGCAGTATCTCCAGGGCAGTATTTGGAGCATCAAGAGCTTGCTGAGGATAGAGAATGAGCAGGAAGGTGAGTAGCAGGTGCACTAACCCAGGACTCAAGTCTGACAGGATTTCTTACTTCTTACTTACTGTGCAGGATATGGCCAATGCTGTCTTGTAGTTGAGGATTACTGTTGGCTGGGTTCCAGTTAACCAAATATTTTTTGACGAGTATTTTTGCAATTCTTGGCTCCTGTACTCAAGAGATAAAACTTTTTTTTTTTTTTAAGATTTTATTTATTTATTTGAGACAGAGAGCATGAGAGGGAGGAGGGTCAGAGGGAGAAGCAGACTCCCTGCCGAGCAGGGAGCCCGATGCGGGACTCGATCCCGGGACTCCAGGATCATGACCTGAGCCGAAGGCAGTCGCTTAACCAACTGAGCCACCCAGGTGCCCAAGAGATAAAACTTTTAAAATGATTTCAGCCAGGTTTGTCACCACTGGCACAAGTGAGATTTCCTTATGCACACATATATCTTTTTTTATCCTTTCTTAAGATTTCATTTATTATTTTTTTTCATAAGCTCTATGCCCAACATGGGGCTTGAACTCACAACCCCAGATCAAGGGTCACATGCTCTACCAGCTGAGCCAGCCAGGTGCCCCCCCTTTTTCTTTATAAGTATAATCATCTCAGATTTATAATTGTGTCCAGAATATTTTTTTACACCCTTAGAATTTTCACTTCGGCTGTGCTCTTGAGAAGTGCTAATTCTACAGTAAAGTACTGGCTGGGCAGCCACTTGAACTGAGGGCTACCATTTGTTCAAATCAGCTGCCAAGGCCATATTTCTCCTTCAGGTCTTGAAATAGCCAAGAGTCTACTTCACAAGATATGTGGGAAGAACTAAAGTGTACAAGGACAGGAAAGTCTACAAGATGAATATAGATGATGTTCAGTTTCATATATACTGCAATTGCCAAAATTACATGTTTTTTGGGTATTTGAAAAGTTGCTGTCAAATGTATAATTGAAACTTTGAGCAACCAAGACAGGAACCCATACATAACAGCGTTTCAGCCTACATGGCTCTGGTTCTCAAACGTGCCACACATCAGAAGTACCTGGGGAGGGCGCCTGGGTGGCTCAGATGGTTAAGCGTCTGCCTTCAGCTCAGGTCATGATCCCAGGGTCCTGGGATCAAGTCCTGCATCGGGCTCCCTGCTTCTTGGGAGCCTGCTTCTCCCTCTGCCTCTCTCTCTCTCTGTCTCTCATGAGTAAATAAATAAAATCTTAAAAAAAAAAAAGAAGTACCTGGGGAGCTTCTGAAAATCTAGATGCCCAGGCTGCCTCCCCCAGATCAATTAAAATATGGGGGTAGGAGTCAGATATTGATATTTTTAAAAGATCCCTAGGTGATTCTAAAGTTCAGCAAAGTTTGGGAACCAATGGCATGTGGAAAAATACATGTAAGCAATTTGTAGCATGTTACCTAAAGGACTCAACTTACAGAATACCTTAATTCACAGATCTCATGAATGTTTCCATTTAAAATACTTCAACATTATAATGGTAAAATATTTCAAAAATATGAAAAAGAGACTCTCGGTAAATTAAAAATTATTCTGTAATTTAAAATATTGCCAATATATTACAATCCACTCCTTTTTAGGGGGAGAATATCAGGAACATTTATTTCCAGCTTTCAAATCCTTTTTATAAGTACAGAAGCAGAAGAAATACTGAAAGATGAAGGGAAGAAAGGATATAAACAAAGAAAAACTAAAATGATTATTTACCAAGAATTGCAAATGCTCATTTTCTGAGTATACCACAACGTTCCATTCTCTATTCCTAGGACTTGGTGTAATTTTCAGGGACATGATGGTGGAGGGCTCATGCTTTTAGTTTATCAAAATAAACCTGAGTGTTCCTTTTCCCAGTCCTCAGTGAAAACTGAGACTTTACTCATCTTTATGAAAAAAGAGAGAAAGAAGAAAGAAGTGGGGGGAAAGAGAGAGAGAGAGAAAGAAGGAGGGAAAGAAGGAGAGGAGAGGAAAGGAGAGGAGAAGAGGAAGGGAAGGAGAGAGGGGAGAAAAATGTGTCCTAGTGGTGAGCTCACCTGTCCTTTGAACTGTTCTGTGGTTGAAATGCCCCTCCTGATTGATCAGTCCTCATTCAACAGATTTTCATGTGTTAGGAACGTTCGAGGATTATGTCAGCTGAGATTCCTGCTGCCTATCTGGTGGAGAGAACAACTTATAATAACAAACACACACCAGACTTGGATGAATTACCATCCCCACAATCTGCAGGCCTGTTGGGGTCGTTCAATTCTTCAAACAGTCCCGTTTCTATAATCTCTTCCTGCCATGCTATAGGGACAGCACCTGTTGCAAATCTTTGGAAGAACATCTTATCTTTATCATCAAATTCAATTCCCCGAACCTCAGAGAAATCTTCAATTTCAGCGATGTCTTTGGCATAAACCACTGAAGGGTCTGGCACAAATGGGGGCTCAATTAGGCCAGCTTCCAGGCGAGCAAAATTGATGGTTTTGAAGAAAGGGTGTTGCCTGGGATCATCAGACTTTTCTCTGTGAAGAAAGGAGATGGTCAGCCTGAGACACAGTAACAAACCAAAACAGGAAATGTTCTAACAATACGAAGTGTCTAGCATTCTTTTCCTGTAATACGATTTCATTTTAATTGCAAAGACAATATAACGATGTAAAGAATACTTTGGAAAAATAATAACTTTAAATTTCAGCCACAATTTAAAAAAATCACCCACAATTCCATCTTATGCAGACAGTAGCATTTTCATTGTTTGCAGATAACCTTCACATGTAGATCTAATTTTTAGAGTCAAGCAGTTGACATGACTTTTATTCTTAGTGTTTTGTGGAAATACAAGCAAAATTCAGTGGGGCCAGAACCTGCTTCCCTGCAACTTCCAGCCATTGCATTTTGCTCTACCCTTCAGGGTCACATAGAACAAGGGAAGCATGTCTATCCACACACAGCCTCACTCACATCCTAAAAAACAGCACCCATATTGCCTCAGTCTTCATATGACATGATTTTTAGGAGCTCCACCTACCTCCCCCAATTGCCACAATACTTTTAAAGACTTTAAAAAAATCCATTAGTAATTTTTAGTAGCATGAATGAGCATACATTCAATGCTCAAGACTATGGTTACTGGTTACCAAGCCCTCTTTCCTTGTGCTAGAAATTATGCCAGTATTTGCCTTAGAATAAGGGGGGGGGGGGGAAATGTATGTTCCCAATTGTGTAACTTCTTGTATTAGTTATCTATTGCTGTGTAACAAACTGCCCCAACATTCAGCAGCTTAAAACAACAAACATTGGGTGCCTGGGTGGCTCAGTCATTAAGCGTCTGCCTTAGGCTCAGGTCATGATCCCAGGGTCCTGGGATCGAGCCCCACATCGTGCTCTCTGCTCCACGGGGAAGCCTGCTTCTCCCTCTCCCACTCCCCCTGCTTGTGTTCCCTCTCTCACTGTGTCTCTCTTTATCAAATAAATAAAATCTTAAAAAAAAAATAAAACAACAAATATTTATTATCTCAGTTTCTGTGGGTGAAGAATCTAGAAATGGCTTAACTGGGTGCCTCTGGCTCAAGGTCTTTCATGAGGTTGTTCATCAGCGCTGTGGTCTCATCTGAAGGTTCAACTGGGACTAGGGGAGGAAATCTGCTTCCAAGCTCACTCACATGGTTATTGGCAGGTCTCCATCCCTCACCATGTGAGCCTCTCCACAAAGCTACCTTATAACTTTACACCTGGCTTTCCCCTGAGCCCAAGATAAAAGGCACAGTCTTTTTACTACCTAATATTGGAAATGACATCTCATCACTTCTGCCATATTGTTAGAAGCAAATGAATTAAGTCCAGCCCACCCTAAAGGAAGGGATTACACAAGAGTGTGGATAACAGGAGATGGAGATCTTTGGGGACCACACTTAAGTCCAGGTTTTAAAGAAATAAAAAGGGGGCTGTATTGTGGCATCAGATTCAAATGATTTTTTCCTTTTTATGTGAGTAGATATGTTCGTTAAGCATCTGACTCTTGATTTTGACATGGGTCATGATCTCAGTGTTGTGGGATTGAATCCCACCTTGGGCTCTACACTCAGCAGGGAGTCTGCTTGAGATTCTCTCTCTTCCTCTCTCTCTGCCCCTCCCCCTGTATACTCTCTCTCTAAAATAAATAAATAAATCTTAAAAAAAAAAAAAAAAAGAGGGGTGCCTGGGTGGCTCAGTCAGTTAAGCATCTGCCTTTGGCTCGGGTCATGTTCCCAGGGCCCTGGGATTGAGCCCCACATCGGGCTCCCTGCTCAGTGGGGAGTTCTGCTTCTCCCTTTCCCTCTGCCCCTCCCCTGCTCCTGCTCTCTCTCACTCTCTGAATTAAATAAAATCTTAAAAAAAAAAAAGAAAAAGAAAGAAATGTCTCCCCTTAGGGAAAAGTCAATTTCTGTCGTAAATCAACCTTGGTAAAAATTAATCACATTCATAGGTTTCCTTTACTTTTATTCCAGTTATCAAAAACTTTTAGGAAAAGAATTGAGGATTTCTCCCATATGCCCCCTTACAGATTCCCTACTATGTCAGATAATTACTGCAGTGAACTCTAACAGTTCTAAACACAGTAATGACATTACTAATAATAATAGTGGGAATAACTGGCATTTATCCAGAACCTACTCTCAGCTAATACAAAGTTAAGCTCTGCACTTATGTTATCACATTTACCATCACAACAATGCCTGTCTGTCTTTTCATTGTACTTTTAACCTCTTCACTTGCTTCTGCATTCATAAATGGCTGTGCATCTGAAAAAGCCAAACATAGGTGAATTTTTCAAAGGAAAATTGTAATCAAATATTATTATGGAAAAGAGAAATCCAGCTGTAGGCATCTGATGTCCAGCCATTCCCTGGGTTGTTCTGTGGTTCAGGCCTAGCCCCATCCAGAATGATGCAGGACTCCTTGGACTTATCTCATTATGACCCAACTGAAAAACAGATATGGAGAACTGTATCATGAGATACTACAAGCTGTCTCTGTTTTCCCCAAAGCCACCAAGTCTCCATCAATTTAAAGGAAGGAAAATGCAGGCTTGCCATCTACTAGAACCTACTGACCAATGTCTGTGTGGTTTACATCCTGTAGAGTCAGAGCCTTGAGGGAGGGTTACTGAGATAGCTTTGAAGCTTCAAAGATGGATTTTTCTCTTAGGTTTATTGAGGTATAATTTTCACAGCAACATTCACCATTTTAAGGTATCAGATTTTGGTGGCGGGGAGGGTATTAGATAAAATTTAAATGTGGCAGAACAAGGATAGAGGGGCGCCTGGGTGGCTCCGTTGGTTAAGCGTCTGCCTTCGGCTCAGGTCATGATCCCAGGGGTCCTGGGATCGAGCCCCGTGTGGGGCTCCCAGCTCGGCGGGGAGCCTGCTTCTCCCTCTCCTCCCTGCTCCTGCTCTCTTTCTCTCTCGCTATCTCTGTCTCTTTCTCTCTCTCTCCAATACATAATTAAAATCTTAAAAAAAAAAAAAAAGGGCGCCTGGGTGGCTCGGTTGGTTGGGCGACTGCCTTCGGCTCGGGTCATGATCCTGGAGTCCCGGGATCGAGTCCCGCATCGGGCTTCCTGCTCGGCAGGGAGTCTGCTTCTCCCTCTGATCCTCCCGCATCTCATGCTCTCTCTCTCTGTCTCATTCTCTCTCTCAAATAAATAAATAAAATCTTTAAAAAAAAAAAAAATCTTAAAAAAAAAAAAGAATTTAAAGGTGGCAGGACAAGGATAGAGCTAGAATTCCATCTATGTAAATCAGGAATGAACCCCAAGACTCTGTGTCTCAAAGAAAACAAAGGAACTGGAATGGGACCAGGTGACGTGAGGAAGGAGCTTGTACCACCTTGAGGGCCACCAGCAGGCGTGAACGCAGTATCCCCCAGGTCAAGAGAGCAACTTAAACTCACTCTGAGCAGCCTTAACTTGGATAAACAAAGAGTTCCCAGGGGCTCAGTAACCTTGAGAAATTCGCCAAGCCAGTCTTGACATCAGTATGAACAGTTCTCAAGGAACACCTCAAGTGACAGGCCCAAATGGCCTTGGTTTGCCCGACAGGGATGGCCACTTCAGCCCTTTTGCAACGAGCCACAGAGGATAAGGGAACAACAGGCCACTAAAGGTTTTCTTTATGTTCCTCAGCGCCCTGACTAGGTGACCCTGGAGGGCAGGGCCTAGGCTTTATGCCCTTTCTCACTAAGTGTCTGTGGTTGCTGATGCCAACAATAAAAGACCAGGTTTTCCAGTCCCTATTCCTTTTACTCAGTGTCTGGACCACGACAAATCTGATCACTTTACCTTTTGCACTAATGACTCTTACCTCAGTTCTGTAATTAGAAATAGCATGGATGTTATTTTACTCTTGAATCTTGCCCTGGCAGCTTCATGCAGGGATCTTTTGGCTCATCCTTAGGCAGTGCACTTTGGACAAATAAGAGAGGCTGTTGATGGGGCAACATCTTCTGCCCTAGCCAACCTGGCAGCTGCAGGAAGACTTCTCCTGCTGACTGGAGTAGGTTCTATTTCGGAGCATTTATAGGAGCTCTTGTGTTACTGAACCCTACATAGAGATTACAATGGATTTTCTTGGAACGGTCAATGAAGAAAAGATACCACCTGACCATACATGAAGACCACTCTGTGGGGTTTGGTCTGCCAAGAACAGTATGTATTGGTATGAAATTATGTGTCGGAGAAGCACTTAAGTCAGACTTGCATGATTAGTTGATCTTGTTCTGCTGCAGTGACTGATCAGAAAACCTGCAAAATGTTTAAGTAATCTTCAGCTTTTATTTTATTAGAAAACATCATAAACTCTATCTGGAGCTTTTGTGAGATGCTCAGAAAAGCTTTCAATTTATTTTTTTTTTTAAAGCTTTCAACTTCTATGTAAAACAAAATTAATTCACAGACCTATGAAGACAAAGGAGGAGATCCTTTCAGTGATGTCTAAAGAGGGAAAAGGGTTTTAAAATTTATTTCAAATGTTTGTGAATGCAAGAGGGAGGGGGCACTTGACCTCTCTTCTGTGTAACATGTTGAGTAGGCATTTGCTTGGCTTTGAAGGACACCACTAGATTAATCAAACATTATCTCATTTGAATTAAAAAAAATACAGAGAGTTGAAATGAAAATGTTGGAAGGTTTTCTCTTTCACCGAACAGCTGGTTTTTAAATGCCTTTTCTCGAATGTTGTAAACAGTTTTATTCAAAACAGTCACAACAACAGATGCTTTATAAAAAGGTTTTGCTTAATGGAGCAGCTTCAGGCAATGATCCAGTGCTCTAAGGTGGCATTTTCCTGAAGAAGTTTGTCAATATTTCATTTTCTATACCCAAAGTGTGTTTATAGAGTGTCAAGATAGATTTTTCAATCAAACATACCAAGCGGGCAGGTTGTCTCTTTTTTCCCCAAAGCCACCTTCAGGGAGGTCACCTGAAGAGGCTGTTCGCTTTCTTTGCGGCCTCCGCCGCTGTTGGGATGCCCTCTTAGACTCCCTGCACTTGAGAACCCGGGCAGTAGAGACGGTCAGGGGTCACCATTTCCAGTTCTCCTCTCCTCGCTGGGCACAGGGAAGACGACACTAGCCAGACCCTTGGACCTTGCGCAGGGCAAACAAGCGAGTGTAAGTGATGCGCGAGCGGGTCACTTCTGGGCGAGGCAGTACAAAGCTCCCCGGGGTTGTGGATGCTCTTTTCTCCGCTACAGCGACGGGAAGCCACGAGCTCCAGGGGAGCCGTCAGATGGATGCAGCCTGGCTCTCTGAGCCTCTGCTCCGAAGGGAGGTACCCGAAGTGGGTGCTGCTGCACGCATAAGGCACTCTGTGCGAGGGAGAAAAAAATTCCCGTCGTTGCAAGCCTCAGAGACTTTGGGATTTGCTTGTTATCATGACGTGGCCTGTTCCGACCACACTAATGCAACAACGTTGGACTCCACACAGGAAAATCAGTTCTACGTTTTCCTTCGCTTAAATGTAGAGTTTCCGTCAAATTTCAAAATACTCATTTGTTAGTTTGGTGTCTGTCATGCTTTGAAAGTCATTACAAATGGATCTTGTTTCGCTATTTAAAACAATGAGGTCGAAAATTAAAAGCTTACCTCCATACTCAAATATTTTGAACTGAGGCAGCCTTGTTCTAGAGCCTTCGGTAGCAGCTACTTGGAAGATTGAGGGTAATTTTACTGCCTATGTTCTGGGGTGATAGTAAAAAGCAGTCATATTACTTCATGTTGTAGTTTTCATATTTGTATATATTTTTAAATTTTGAAAATTCAATCTAAGAATTTAAGACGTTCAAGCTCATAGTTCAGTCAAAATATTATCTGGTATCTCTCTTAGAACAAATTAGTAATAATTGCTATCAGTTACTTTATATATGTTATATCTAAACCTCAGAGTTTCCGACTGTGTAAGTCAGGGTTCTCTAGAGAAACAGAACCAACAGGATGCTGAAAGGGTCCAGAATGTACTACGGTAGCATAAAAATTATTTTGGGCTGAAGGCATTTGCGAGTCAACAGATACAGGTTTTGAATTTCCCTTATCTGCCTAGAAGCAGAGACTCCAAAAACTGAACTCATAAATCTTCTCTCTGGGAGTCTTAGAACTGGGAAAGACTGATTCTTAGCACCAGTGACAGAAGTCGGCTCCACACCTAAATAGCCACTGTCACAAAACTCTCGTATCTCCCACCTATTCTCCTAAAAGTCATTTGTTCTCCCATAAGTGCCCTCCCCCCACCCCAGCAATTCTAAGAAATTATTTGTTTTCCTGCATGTACCCTTCTGCTCCTCCCCTTACCCTATTAAGATGGTCTATAATTCTAACTGATCCCAGTCACATTTTTCTGTGAACTCTTGTATACGTGCATAAATAAAAAAGCCTGTCTTTTCTCTTACTAATCTGTGTTTTGTCAGTTTAGTTTGCAGGCCTCTAAGAAGGTAGAGGAGAAGTTTTTTCTCCCTGACAATATGTGTGCATGTATATGAGAGAGACATGGAGAGAGAGAGAAAGAGAGATTGAAAGAGGGAGGGAAGGAGGGAGGAAGGATGGATGGATTATTTTAAGGAATTGGCTCGCACAATTGTAGAGGTTTGGCAAGTCCAAATCCTGCAAGGTAGGTCATCAAGCTGGAGACCCAGGGAAGAGTTGCAGTTCAAGTCCAAAGGTGGTTTGCCAGCAGAATTCCCTCTTCTCCCAGGGAAGTCAGTCCTTTTCTGTGAAGGCCTTCAACTGACTGGATGAGACCCAACCACATTATGAACAATAATCTCCTTTATTCAAAGGCTACTGATTTATATATTAAGCTTATCTTAAAAATACCTGCACAGAAGCATCTAGAATAATTGATCAAATATCTGAGTATGGTGGCCTAGTCAAGTTGTCATAAAATTAATCATCATACCCATAAATCCCCAATTTTAATACATGAGGATATTGAGACTCTGAGAAAGTAATTCAATTGCTTGAGGTAAAATGACATACAGAGCTGGGATGGGAGTCTATGTCTGCGAATCTAAAGCCCTTGGTTTTTTCTCTATATAACACAGTTACCCACTGCCAAGGGCCTTTTTACAGCTCAGCTTTTACTTATTTTGTTTCTTCTAAAATAGCTTGATCTTATTATTCCCTATAAGCAATAAAACTCGACTTTCTTCAAAAGGAAAGTGCCCTGGTACTGATGGGTTTTAAGTTTTAATTGTATTCCTTTTTGAATCATTTATTCACAATTCAAAATTCAAGAGATAATAGGGCTATAGAGTGAAAATCTTCATTTGCATCCCTGTCACCTGCCCCTAATTTCTTTTTATTAGAGACCACCAATCATATACATTCTTTGTATACTCTGCCCAAAATATTCTATGCAACTATTTGAATTATAGATCACTTTTCTTTTCTCTTCTCTTTTCCCCTTTCCTCTTTCTTTCTATCTTTCTTTCTTTCTTTGATGTATGCTGTTTTGCAACTCACTTTTTTACTTTAAAATATATCTTGGAGATCATTCCACATCAAGTGCTCACAGTGTTTGAAAGTATCAGAAACACTTGACCATATAATATGCAAATAATAATAGGAAAATAATAATACCTAATCCCAAGTCCTCATCATTAATCCAAACCTGTGGACAATGCTGACATTGCTAATTACCTCTGTTACATGGTAGTTTACCTGCTTCCTAAACGTTGCTCTGGTTTCTTAGCCAAGAAGAGTCTGCAAATATCTTTTGCTTCCTCTGTGAAGTTATCATGTTGGAATCTGACCTCTTCTTTCAGGGTTCTTTGCTTTAAATCCTCTTTACTGACTTTTTCCTTGTAATCTTTGAATGGTGTTCGTCCAGCAACCATTTCATAAATACTGCATCCCATTGCAAACCAGTCCACAGGGTAGGAATAACTCACTTTTTCCATTAGGATTTCAGGAGCCATATAACCATTGGTTCCAGCCTGTAACAGCCCAAACAAGAAACAAAACAAAACAAAAACACTAATTTGAGTGTAACAGATGCTGCTGATTGCCTATCCAATACCCATTCTCCTTTTCTTTCTTTGTTAAGTGAATCCTAAGTATTTGGGGTGGCAATGTGTCTAACCTATTCTAGTCTCTGCTCTCCTAGCATCCTCTGGGGCGCTGGGGTAGGCCATGTCATCCATTCTGGCCAAGAGGATTTAGCTGGAGTGCATTATAAAAGGGACAGATGAGGGGTGCCTGGGTGGTTCAGACAACTGACTCTTTTATTTTAAATATTTTTTTCAGTAAAGTAATGCCAACCTATCATCTTTAATGAAATCACGTACTTTGTGTTTTTTTCTTATGGATATAATTTAATATTTTATTTATTTGTTTGTTTATTTTTTATTATGTTATGTTAGTCACCATACGTACATCATTAGTTTTTGATGTAGTATTCCATGATTCATTGTTTGTGTATAACACACAGTGCTCCATGCAATACATGCCCTCCTTAATACCCATCACTGAGACAATTGACTCAATCTCAGCTGAGGTCTTCTCAGGGTCGTGAGTCATGCTGGGCATGGAGTTTAATAAGTAAGTAAATAAGTAAGTAAATAAATAAATAAATAAAATAAAGGGACAGATGGGCTGCCCTTGAAATGAGGAAGTCACCTAGCCCCTCATTTCATCATTAAGGTGAAAAGTTCAAGTGGATGTCTCTGTGATTCCCCTAAGCTCTGCCTCTGTATTTTATTCACAGATAATAGAAAATTAGATGCATGGTTTTAAAGGTTGAACACTTTATTGCTAATATTGAATGTTCATATATTACCTGGTCTGTGATTCTTCCTCTATTTGCTATATAATGATATTAATATCACACATCTCTGCCTATCCCTGCATTGAAAAACTAGCACAGTCATTTTAATCTAAAAAATTCCACACATGAAAATTCATTTAACATGCATGACTATATTTTGTAGGCACATTTCTACTGACAGTACATGCCAAATGACCATTGAGTTAAAAAATATATATTTATACATATAACTTAAAATTTACCATCTTAATAATTTTTAAATGTACAGTTCAAGAGTATTAAGTACATTCACATTGTTGTGCAACCATAATCACTTTCCATCTCGCAAAACTGAAACTCTATACTCATTAAACTACAACTCCCCATTGCCCCCACTCCCTAGGCCCTGGCAACCACCATTCTACTTTCTGTCTCTACTAATCTGACCACTCTAGGTACCTCATGTATGGGGAATCATGCAGTTATTGTCTTTTTGTGAATGTGTTATTTTAATACATTCATTAATTTGACAAATTTTTGAAAATATTTTATTTACTTATTTGAGAGAGAATGAGAGTATGTGTGTGCACAAGGGGAGGGGCAGAGGTAGAGGGTTGGGGAGGGAAGAATCTCAAGCCGACTCCAAGCCAAGCACAGAGCACCACATGGGGCTCGATCCTATAACCCTGAGATCACAACCTGAGCCAAAACCAAGAGTTGGACACTTAACTGACTGAGCAACCAGGTACCCCCAATAAATATTTAATGAATATCTATAACATACCTTGTAATATAAAATATACATATATATACATACACACACACACAAACACATTGTTTTCCAAAAACTAACTTGTTTTTGGTTAAAGTATAATGTATAACCTCTGCAGCAATTAAAAATTCAAAGAACACCTGGGGCACCTGGGTGGCTCAGTTGGCTAATTGTCTGCCTTTGGCTCAGGTCATGATACTGGGGTCCCGGAATTGAGTCCCATGGCAGGCTCCCTGCTCAGCGGGGAGTCTGCTTCTCCCTCTGCCCCTCACCTGGTTCGTGCTTTCTCTCTCTTGCTCTCTCTCTCTCAAATAAATAAATAAATAAATAAAATCTTGAAGGAAAAAAAAGGAAAAATTCAAAGAACACCCTAAAATGACAATAGGCTTCTATTAGTACATAAAAATGATCATATAAATTACTGGCAGAGTTGTGAAAAACAGATGTGCTCTGTAAACTGACCCAGACTTTTAGGAGAGCAGTAAGATAGAGTCACAGAAAATAATCAGTTTACTTCATCTCGGAGTATATACCTCCAAGAAATGACTCAGAAGAAAGAAAAAGGAATCTACATAGAGATGTTCATAGCTCCATTATTTATAATGGTCACAAGCTGGAAAACTCCAAAAGCCCGTCAATAAAGACAACAGACTAGAGTCTATTGTTAATACTATATATTTCACACACTGATTACAAATATGCATTCCAGTACATCAAAAAAGGCTGGAAAGTGTTTTTAGTTTTTTATCAGGTGATTTTTTTCTAATTGCTTAAGTATATATTTTTACATGCACTATATATATAATGCCCTAGGAATATTAAATTTCATGGATAATTTCTACATGGGTAACAACAATGAAAAGCATATATGACCCAAGCACTAATGAGAAGTAATTGGCCTGTCTGGAAGTGACTGGGTCTGACAGGCCGGGCATGAGTCAGCATGGTACTGCTGTTTTCGTAGAAGCTGATATATAATTTGGGTGACCATATGTTCCGGTTTGCCCAGCACAGTCCCAGTTTACATTTGGTGTCCTGGCATCTTGTCTAGTTTTGCATTTGTCCAGACAGAAGGGTCCTGTAGGTTCCCCTGAGGCCCAGGATGTAGTCTTACTCGACTTTGTATCCAAACTAGGAACTTACTATAGGGCCTCACGCGCTGCATACCCAACAAAATGTTTGTTAAATAAACAACAGTAAAGATGGTAACTAGATGTTTTCCATTCACTATGCAACCAATATTGAGTTCTACGGATACCAAGACATATGATACCTGGCTGTTGCCCTTCAGGATTTACAGGCTGATGGAGACAGGTCAAAAGGTTAATTAAATAGAGTACAGTAAATGCTATAATGGGAGTATAAAAAAAGCACAGGGAGGTGAGAGGGTATGTATGTGTGTGTGTGTTGGGGATATTTCACTGAAGAGTGATAGCTGAGCTGAATCATGAGGGAAGAATCTGTCCCCCTGAGTAGGCTAGCCAGCTAATGAGCACGTGCAAGAGATGGAGCCAGAAATAATGTGGGGTGTTCAGGGAGCTTTAAGGAATTTGGCATTTCTGGAACACAAGATCTGTGGGATGTAATGGTGGGAGGGGAGACTAGAGGAAGAGATGTGGATGAGACTGAGAAACACCGTATGCCAAAATAGGAAAAATTCATTCCCAGTCCCCCTTTTCCCTTGTATCCCTCTACCAGAGAGGTCAGAAGGCTGAGCACTCCATCTCTCAGCTTCCTTTGTACCTAAGGCGACCATGTGATATGAGCTTTATTTGAGAGGTATGCAAGGCAAAGGTGCTGAGGGTTGTGGAAAAAGGGGAGTAAGCCTACTTAGAAATACCTAAAAGATATAAGACAAATTAATGGATCAATAGAGGGATGGATAGATGGAGAGATGTGATAAAGTGAATCTAATAAAATATTAATGATATACAATGGAATATTGTTTGGCCATAAAAAGGAATGTATTAATTACATGCTACAACATGGATGAACCCTGAAAACATTATGCTAAGTGAAAGAAGCCAAATACAAAAGGCCACATATTGTGTTTCCATTTATATAAAATGTCCAAAATCGGCAATTCCACAGAGCCAGAAAGTGGATTAGTGGTTGTTTAGGGTTGGGACAGGGGGAATGGGAGTGACTGCTAAAGGGCAGGGGGTTTCTTTTTGGGGTGAAGAAAAGATTCTAAAATTGTGATAATGTTTGCATTGCTCTATGAATATACTAAAACCCACTGAATTGTATACTTTAAATGGGTCAATTTTACGGTATTTAAATTATATCTCAATAAAGCTGTTCAAAATGTTCATGGTAAACAGGTAGGTAATGGGGCTTCTGGGTGGCTCAGTTGGTTAAACGACTGCCTTCAGCTCAGTTCATGATCCTGGAGTCCCGGGATCGAGTCCCACATCGGGCTCCCCGCTCAGCGGGGGGTCTGCTTCTCCCTCTGATCCCCTTCCCTCTCATGCTCTCTGTCTCTCATTCTCCCTCTCTCAAATAAATAAATAAAATCTTTAAAAAACAAAACAAAACAAACAAAAAAACAGGTAGGTAATGGGTATACAGGTGCTTGCTGTGAAATTCTTTCAACTTTCCTGTATGTTTGAAAGTTTTTATAATAGAATGCAGAGGGAAGGGGGCCCTTGGGTGGCTCAGCGGGTTAAGCGTCTGCCTTTGGCTCAGGTCATGATCCCGGGGTCCTGGGATCCAGCTCTGTGTTGTGGGCTCCCTGCTCATTGGGGAGTCTGCTTTTCCCTCTCCTGTTGCCCCTCCCTCCCGCTCGTGCTCTCAGTCTCTCTCTCGAATAAATAAATAAAATCTTAAAAAAAAAAAAGAATGCGGAGGGGAAAAGGAGTGAGAGAAGGGGATGCAATACGTAGCTGCTGGTCCATCAGGCACAATAGAATCTTCTACAAGGGTCATAAAGAGGAACTACAGGGGAGAGTGAAGAAGAGGGAATCCATCTACCCAGCTCCCTCCCATCTCCTATTTCCATTTGTCAAGGATTACCCAAAAGCTAACTTGTCTGTATTTCTAGATGTTGTCCAGACCTTCAGCAGCTTGCTAGAAACCAGGATTCACATTGCAGTCTGATATTTCCTCCAATTCTAAAAGAGGAGGTGCAACTCAGCCTACAAGTGGAGCCAACAGAGTGCTGTCCAGGAGCGAGAGAAGAGGCAGAGAGAGACTGTTAGAAGGTGTGTGAGGTTTGTGGCCCAGTACTCCAACTTGATGAAATTTCTCAATGATTTACTTTGGTATGGGGCTTTTTCATTTGTGATGCTGGCTACTGGCAGGTCACTCAATCCAGGATCTAAAGGCTGTCAGAATCGGGAAACTTTCTTATATTACTTCTTTGATCATTTTCTCCCTTCCATTTTCTTTCCTCTCTTTTTGTTTTTGGAAATCCTGAACGTATCCCCTACGCTTATCTTTTGCTTCTATTTTCCATCTCTTTGTCTTTTTCTAGGATTTCCTTTTTTTATTTTTTCTAGGAGAACTTCCTCTATTTTTTCCCTAACTCTTCTATTTTTTTTTAAGTATTTTATTATGGGAAATTTCAAACATATACAAAAGAGAGACTAGAATAATAAACCCAGTATATGCTATACTCAGCTTCAAGAATTATCAACAAATGGTCAGTCTTGTTTCATCTGTGTCCCCTACCCACTCCTACTGGCCCAGACTCTCCTAGACATCATCATTTATATTTCACTATGAGTCTCTAAAAGGTAAGGCCACTTAAAAGCAAACAAACAAAACCAAAGCACTACAATATCATTATCTCACTTTAAAAATAACAAAAATTCTTTAACATTATCAAATATCTGGACATGTTTACACTTCTCCAATTGTGCTATAAAATTGTCCTCTAAATAGTTTGCTTAAATTTGGATCTAAATAAAGTTCACAGTGAACTTTACCCTACAGTGAATCCATCAGTTGACAAGCTTCTTGTCAGCTTTTTGGTGTTACATTCTTAAATACAAGTAGTCAAAGATCACTTGTTATTTGAAGGAACCCTCCAAAATGAAAGACTATGCAAAAACAAACAGAAGAGAGAAGCTTATAGAAAGTAGGAACAATGCAATGAGTAGAAGTGTCATTGTTTGGTATGTCTCTTTAATCTCTGTGAATATATAAGTTCCTCATCTGTCTGCCTCCCCAGCCCCCTGGAAGATTTTGTTGGAAAAGCTGGCTAAATTCTAGAGTGCCCCAGGTCAGATTTTGCTGACTGCCTCCCTGTGGTGTCATTTAACATGTTCCCCTATTCTTTGTATTTCCTGTGAATTAATAGCTAGATCTAGAGGCTTAATCCTTCTACTGAAATTTCATTTCTGCAAATGTTTTTTATTAAAGTATCATTAACATATAATAGCGTGCACAGATCATAGATGTTCAGTTCAGTAAATTTTGATAATTGAATACACCCACATAAATACCACCCAAACAAGATATAGAATATTTCATCCACCCAGAAAGTCCCCTTGTGTCTCTTTCCAGTCCATTCTCCTCTCTACTTCCTAGGCAACCACTTTCTGATTTCTGTCACCATAGATTAGTTTTGTCTGTTCTTGGATTTTATGTAAATGGAATTGTATGGTAGATACTCTTTTGTGTCTGACTTCTTTTTTTAACATAATGTTTTTGAGATTTATCCATGTTGCCCTGCAAATTTATTTGTGAATTTTTTTTATTTCCAAATGCCCTTTTTCTTCTCTGAATGTTCCTTGTTTTCTAGCATCTGTTCTTGCTTCATGGATGCAATATCTTCTCTTAAATCTCATAAGATATTAATTATACATTTTTAAAAAATGTTACCTTCTACTCATTGCATTGTTCCTACTTTCTATAAACTTCTCTCTTCTGTTTGTTTTTGCATAGTCTTTCATTTTGGAGGGTTCCTTCAAATAACAAGTGATCTTTGACTACTTGTATTTAAGAATGTAACACCAAAAAGCTGACAAGAAGCTTGTCAACTGATGGATTCACTGTAGGGTGATCTTGCCAAGCCATTTCAGTGGGGACGCCACCTGTGAGTACCCACAGACCTTTTGTGTTAGGCTACTCCATTTCCTCAGAGAGAGATATGCTCCAATACCCCATTTGAGAGGGGTCAGCCTGCTTGCTCTCATTCTGGGAGCTAAGGTGGGGAGGGGACTGAGGGTCTCCCCACATCACATAGTATTTCATGCTCTACAACTCTCAGTTGGACTATATGTTCCTGTGTCCAGCTTCTCTCTGGTTCAATCTCTTCTGCTGGGGTGGGAGAAGCAGGGAGAAAGACTACAAACAATATCCAACTGCAGTTCAGACAGTGGTGATTGGTAAATTCTACTTAGCAACACTGATTGTGAGTTCGCTCTGTGTGTGGTACCCTTCCAATGAGCAGATTTCAGAAGCAAGTGACTTTAGTGATCAAAATAGTTAATTGGGTCACCAGATAAATATCAGTTGCTCAGTAGAAGGTATAGGGTGAAAGTGGAGAACACACCTTGTCCTAACAAAGGATGTGAGACACAGCTAGGGGAAAAATTGGAAATAATAATGTAAAATGCTTATTAAGTGCTCATTACATGCTAATTATTTTCTCAAGTGCTTTATGTGAATTTCTTGTTTCATCTTTATTTTTTTTTTAAAGATTTTATTTATTTATTTATTTGTCAGAGAGAGAGAGAGAGCACAAGCAGGGGGGACAGCAGGTAGAGCAGGCAGAGGGAGAAGCAGACTCCTTGCTGAGCAGGTAGCCCAATGCAGGACTCGATCCCAGGACCCTGGGATCATGACCTGAGCTGAAGACAGACACTTAACTGACTAAGCCACCCAGGCATCCCTTGTTTCATCTTTATGATAACCCTATGAGATAGAAACAATTTTTATCTCCCATTTTACAGATTAGAAAACTGAACTACAGGGTGCCTGGGTGGCTCGTTGGTTGGGCGACTGCCTTCAGCTCAGGTCATGATCCTGGAATCCCGGGATCGAGTCCCACATCGGGTTCCCTGCTTAGCGGGGAGTCTGCTTCTCCCTCTGACACTCCCCCCTCCTGTGCTCTCTATTTCTCTCTCTCTCAAATAAATAAATTAAAAAAAAAAAATCTAAAAAAAAAAAAAAGAAAGAAAACTGAACTACAGAGGGTTTAAATCTTGCCCAAGCTCACCCACGCAAGATTCACACAGATCTCTGCACTTAGAACCACTACATTACACTGCCTCTTTGGAAGTAGGTGATGTGGCTTTTTCTTACCCTTCCAAGTTCCCTTCAGGATTTCTTTTCTCTCCTTAGCGTCCTCTCCTTCCATCTCCCCATCTACCAAGGACCAAGACCTCATCTTGGTCCATTCCTGCTTAAGCTGCTTCCCTTCCCCTTTTCCCAACATCCTTTGCCTGTATCTCTGCTAATCAGGCTGGCTGGGCTGCTCCACACTACCCGAGATTGCTAGGAGGAGGGAACCAGATCCCGAGCCATGCTCCGGGACCACCTTGCTCCCTCCCCAGGGAAATAAATGAAGAATCAGCCCGCCATCTTTACAGCACTATAGCCTCTTGGTGTAATGGAAAGAGCACAAGACAGCATGCAGGGTAGCTTTAGATCCCTTCCAAATAATTTTCAGGACTAAATTTACCTCTTGGCCCTAAAGACAGAAAATGTCAGTGATGGAATTTTGAAGAGCATCACCTCCTTAAGGAGTGGAGGTATTTCACAGAGAAGAATGGAATTAGAGGCGCACTCCAGACTCTAAGCACCCAAATTCCATCTCAGCCTCCAGCTGAAAAAATTAATTGCCTGCCCTTTATGCCATTTGTCTTCTGCATGTGGACTGCCTCCTCGGAGTGGGGTGGGAGGAGAGAACGGGCCAAGCAGCATGAGGCAGGGTCCAACCACGCTGACCTCTCACAGCTCAGTTTAACTCCTGCAGTTACAAAGGGCCTCCACACATCAGTCTCTGTGTCATCAAAACAGTCACTTTCAGTCCATGTGACCAGAACAGCCATTGCCAGGGCTAGAGGGATCACTCAAGTGTCAGCAGCCACAAAACTCTCAGGGGAGCTTTCTGTATATATTTTTTTGTTCTGTTTCCTTCATTTTGTTTTGCTTTTGTTTTATAGTGCCTTTTGATGGACCCACATAGTCAACACCTGGTCAGGCAAAACAAGGTATACCCAGCATGGCAGGGCATCAAGCATCAGACCTCACAGGGTTTAGGAAGCCAGTAATAACGCCTCCTTCCATATTGCCCCCCAGGGGGCAGCAAGAAGTACAACTACTACAGTCAACCGCGTGTGTATTGCTTAGGTCCATCAGGACCACCGGACACCTACAGGTGTTGAAACTTTGAGGAGGGTGAACACCCTACGGTGGGATCAGGATCAGAGCCAGCCTGTCCGGACCTGTGCAGACACCCCTTCCATTGTCCTTGCTGTTGGATGCTGGCTTCCACTGACCCTGTAGCTGTTGTCACCCTTACCCCTGGGCCCATGGGAGCCTGGTGGCAAGGCCAGGCTGGGCGGATTCTGTCCTCTGAACAGTCCCAATGTGACTCTGGGCAGCAGGGGACTGTGACCTTGGCAGTGCTGAGAACAGGGAGGGGCCTTTCAGTGGGACTGAGAGGGCACAGTTCACATCTTAATAGCTTTATATATCCATGAAAAAGTGTGTGTGTGAATTCATGCAGGTGTACGTTGCCGGTCCTTCAAGGTCAAGATAACCAGTAAGCCTCAGGCTCCCAATGAATCTGAAAAGGCGGCAAGCTTAATTAGAAGAAACGGCAGCATCGTGCCCCCGGTGTGTCCAGGCCAAGCTGGATTTGATGACCGGGCGGGGAGAAAGATGCCGAAAAGGAAGCTCTCTGCGTTTGTTGGTGGTGGCCCAGCAAACTGGCCAGCGGAGCAAGAAACTGCCCGCGGGTGCCTCTTCCCCCCAGCTCATCACAAACCAGATCCACTCGGCAGCACAATCCAAACAGAAGAGGGAATCAGAATGTACATCTTTTGTTTGCCGTGGCAGGAGAACTGTTGAGCAGAGGAAAAAAACAAGCTGAGCTTAGCGCTATCAGCTGTTTCCTGGGGCTCGCTCCTTCCTTCCTCCGAGGGGGGCCTGGCCGCTTTGTTCTTGTTCCCAGCTGCTCCTCTGCGCCTTTAAGCGGTGGCCTTTGCAGACCTCAGAGGAATGCGGCCTGAGACCCCAGGGGATTTAGCTTCGAGGCTCCGCCTGCGTGCGCAGCCCCAGGCTGCAGCCTCCAGAGGGCTTGCTTTTGCTCCCCGTCTGCTTTCTGCCGGCCACTTCCTAGGTGCAGCAGGAACATCACCAGACACAGCTTCCTGCTCTTTCTGACACCCCTGGGAGGACACCCATGCCAGAGAGACCCTGCAAGGGATCCAAAAGAGAGGTTTCTGCAATACTGCTTTCCACAGCTGTCCAGCCTGGCGTCATTCGGTGGTGGCTCAGATCCCAGCTCTCCCAGTTACTAGCTGGTCACCCCCAGCCAGTTATTCAACCTCTCTGAGCCTCACAGCTCCTCCTCCACAGGGCCATGATAAGGATTAAAGCGATAAAACACTGAGTACCTCCCAAAAGCCTGGCACACAGCGGGCCCTCAACAGGTGTTAGAGACCATGGTCACCAAGTCTGGGTTCCGGGTGTCTCAGGCAGGACAGCTACACAAGAAGAAAAACTCCAAAGCCTCTAAGATTCCATCAGATTGAAAGGCAGGGCCTGGCATGTGGGCAGAGATCAAGAGTTGTGATTCTTCCACTGGAGTGTGCTCTTTGGTGATTTCATGTTCCCTGGATCTCTCCGGCAGCGGGCTGAGGCATATTTTCCATGGTGTCTCTAGGATGTGACAAGCAAGGCAACTGCGTGTGCCTGATTGGCTCGGTCAAGAGGGGAGCTGCGCGCCCCCCCCCCCACTGTACACACTGCAGCCCTGGGGTCCTGCAGGCTCCCTGTGCCTCTCAGAGAACAAAGCACAGGTGCAAAGGTTACCTGAGAAGGTACAGTGCCGACAGGGGAGGCAGAAACAGTGCAACAGAAGGGATTGTGACCGAGGGGTCTGGTACTTGGCTTCGTAGAATAATCACAGCAATCATTCCTTGAGTGCCTACCAAGGGCTGAGCCTCTGCTAGGCATTTATCTGCCTTGCTTCTTAATCTTCTCATCAAACCTCAGAGGCGGGCTGTATTAACCAGGCTCACTGAAGAGGCATGACTTGCCCGGGGTCAAGCGCAGGGCTATGGCCAGACTAAGTGGCATGTCTGTGCCAATTAACGGAAGGCACTCTGCATGGCTTGGCATGTAGAGCATGAGTTGGCCCTCAGTCCTCAGTGTCCCTACGTATAGGCATCCCAGTGAGGGGTCAGCCTGTGCATCTGTCCCAGCAGCCATAGGAAGTGGCAGAGCCAGGACCGGCACACACACTTCTTCCCTCTGGTTGGCCCTGTGGGCTGTATTTCATCAGCTGCACTCGATCTGGATGGATGCTCCGAGCTTCCAACATGTGTCCATATCAACAACGATGATGCAACCTTTTGGTCCCTGATCATAGCATCCTGCATGGCAGTCCCCTCCTGCCGCCCCTGTGGGCTCTCTCTCCTCGCTCTTACAATTCCCTGGACAGTGTGCTGCCAGGGCCCCCCCAGGTCTCAGGCCCTCTGCCTCACTCCCTCCTGTTTACTCTCATCCCGGCTCCCTCTTCCTGAGTGTCCTTCCAAAGCTGCTTTTGTCATTTCCCTGCCCGAAAGCCTTCAGTGGCTCCCCAACACCCTAGGCGCTCAGTTGGAATGCCCTTGTCGGACTCCTCCAGCCTCCTAGGGACTGACATCTGCTATGCTCACCGGCTGTCACCCCCTTCCAACCCTGTGACTCCGCATTCTAAGCAGCTGCAGAGTCACTACGTTCTGTGCCTGAGCCCCAGGCCTCTCGTTCCAGGCTTTTAGCTGGGCAGGATTTTTCAACTGTGACAGTATGGACTTTGTGGGCCAGATGGTTCTTTGTGGTGGGGGCTGTGCTGTGCACTGTAAGATGTTTAGCGGCATCCCTGGCCTCTACCCACTAGATGCCAGTAGCTTTTTCCCCATCATGACAACCAAAATGTCTGCAGAGATTGCCAGAATTCCCCTGGGGGCCAGAATTGCCCTCAGTTGAGGACCACGACCTATGCTGACCCTCTGCATAGCCCATTCTCTTTCTTCCTTACCTGCCTAGCTTCTGTTTGCCTTGTACATCTCAACTTGGTTGTTATTTCCTCCAGGAAACCTTTCCTGACACCGTAATCCTATGTCAGGCTGGGTGCCCTTCCTATGCACCCAACATGGACAGCTTTGGTCACCATGTATTTTTAACCACCCTTTTACTGTCAGTCTCTTCCTGGTCCTGGGGCCTTCTGGTTCCCTGTACTCGGGCACTTTGCACTGGCTCTGCCACCTGGAGTGAAGACTGTGGTACTCTGCCCAGATCCCCTCTGCAGGTGTGGCCTCCCTTGCTGCTGGGATCAGGCCAATCTGCGGTGCAGCTGAACCGTGCCCTGTGCTCAGCAGTAGCCCTGTGCTGGGGTTCGATGCTGTGCGGAAGCTGTCTTGACACATTTCTGAATTTGGATCTTGGATCTTGTCAATTAAGTCCAGTGAGATGATAGAGTATGCCCTTGGGGTAGGGAGCCTGGCTCACACCAGTCCTGTCTCCCGCCACATTTCTGCCTCCTAGCCCTGGCGTCCTGGCTGTTTCCTCCACTGTCTCCGCTTGGCAACTGTTGTGACCCTCTGCCGCTGTGGGGGGCCTGGACTCAGGTGCAGGGTTGGGCTCAGGGTTGGGGTCAGGCACTTGCTTCCTCAGGCCCACCCGTTGGGTGGGGCCCTGATGCCTACGAGGGTCTTCCTTACTCCTATCTTTCTAAGCCTAAGGGAGTGTGACATTGAATAGCAAAAACCACCATGACTTTCAACAAGATTAATCATGGAAGAAACGAGAGAGCTTTCTGCCGGCATTTGAATGAGGGTCCCCCATGTGCAATTCATGAGGAGCCTGGAAAATTATGTAGCCAGCCCTAGCTGGGACCACTGACTGCTGATGGCTCACAGCTGCACCTCACCCTGGGACCTGCTCTCGGCCCCAGGCAACTGCCTAGCCTAAGCTGCCCCCCTGCTAGCAGCCAGCCAAGGCCACTGACTGGCCCATGGGGGCATACAAAAACCTAAACTCTGTCCCCTATTTGGGACAACTCTGAAGGGCCATCCCAACTCAAGAGCTTGTTGAAGGATTGACTGAGGTCTTGGTTCCACTTCATTGTGGATCAGCTTCTCCCTCTGCCCAATCCTGCCTTCCTCATGCGTAGATCTCCTGAGAATGCACCCTAATAAGTCTTCCACATGGAAACGTGTCTCCAAGTGTGTTTCCAGGGAACCCAGCCTAAGACACTACTCCAAGGACTTTGCTGATAGCCCTCTGATAGCAAGTTAAGTTGTATTCCCCTTATGGTTAACGCTCGGATTCTCACAAATTAAGTCAAATCCTCCTTGGAGAGCCCCATGTATCACATCTTCACAGCATTTATTATAATTGACACTTTATATTCCTGTGAGTGATTTTTAAGTTCTATCTTCCCTAGACTAAGTTCCATGAGGGCAGGAAATCATGTCCATTTTTTGCTCATCTTTCTATCCTTTAGGTTTAGCGCAGTCCTGGCATGTGGGAAATGCTCAATACATATATATGGTGAATGAAGGAGTGAGTGAATGAATGAAGAGATGTTAAAAATAATTCTTAGGCTTTAATGAATATTTTTGAATGCCCTTAATAGTGATAAATACTTTCAGAATGGATTGGATGGTAGTGGTAAAAAATTACTAGGAACTAAATTTAGTCAATGACGGTGGTTATAATTTTGATGGAGACCAACGTGTGACCAAGAAGTAACCAGAATTCCACTCCTATAAGGCTCTTCCACTGTTTCTCAGAAGTGAGTTCTCAAAGAGAAAGAATTTTGGAGCAGGGTCATAATGATGGTGAGGTATGAAGGTGTTAATTTTGATGAAACACATTCTGAGATCTTTTAAAAATCACTTCTTCAGTGTGTCTCTAGCACTGTATTCAGGACAATAGAAGCTTCAGACTAAATATAATGCCCATCCTCTGTCACCCATCCTCCCTCTGAATGTGAGGAGTTGGTCAGAAGCTTCAGAGCAGGACAAGGTAACCAAATGTGTCACGAGCTTTTGGCTCACAGTTCCAACTTCGTTCCCACTCCTGACAAAAGAACACGTCTTAAGGATTCATGTTCCATAAAATCTGAAGGTCACTGTTCTCCACTTAGAATAAGGAATTTGAAAGTCCCAGCATGAACCCCACTTCCCAATGTTCCTATTATATTTTCCCAGAGTCTCTAAAAAAGTGATGTGAATTAGTTTTATTGTATGCATGTAGATGTCAGCTGAATAGAGGCGGGAGTGCTTATCACATTTATTAAAAGTGAACGCAGACAGTGGCTGGGACCATGTTTATTTATATTGTGCCTATGTGTGGGAGGCTGGCTCTGAGACATTAGTCACATCGTTCCCGTAGGTGGGGGTGCTCCTTTTTGAAGTCTTAACTCTGTCAGAGGTTCAGCTGGACTTCTGGTTGGTATCCATATCAGACCAGCCTGAGGAAGATATGCTAATGTCATCACATATACTTATTCTGAGTTTTACTGGAGAAAAGCCTTTTATAGCATTAAAAACCTAGGCCATGTCCTGCTGTGTGAATTTAACAGGGTAGAATCAAGACTGTAAGTGCCCTTGAATTTGATGTACCTGGGTTCATATCACATATTAGAAATGTGTCTTTGAGTGGGCAACTTAACCTCTCTGGGTCTCAATTTCTCCATCTGTAAAACAGAGCTAATAATATTCCTACCTCATAGAATCTTCTTAAAAAAGATCTAGATCCCATCGTCTCTTGATTAAGGGGTCAGAAAGCTTTCAAACTTTTCAAACCATGGAGGTAACAGCAGTTACTAGGGGTATCCACTCTTTGCCTAGCTGACATCCATTTCTCATTCTTTTCCATCCTAATTTTCCTTTGGAGAACACATTCTTCTGATGTCAGTCCATGAGATTTAGACAGGACAGACCTTCCCCCTGGCTCCTGGGAACAGCAGTGATCTCATCCTGGTCAGTGGAATGGGTTGTGGTTGGGCATATGACTTGAGTTGTCCATTGAGAGTCTACCCTGGGAAATGTGAAAGAACTATTTGTAAAGAAGTGTTTTCTTTCCATGGGGTTGCTCAGTTGGTAGGATATGTATGGAGATGCTGGTGGCCTTTGCGCAGGGATCACCTGAGTGAGAGTGAGGCTAACACTGAGGACACCAGAGCAGGGAAACGGGAAGAGATTCTCAGGGAATCCTCCACTGCTCAGAGATTCTCAGGGAATCCACTGCTCAGGCACCTGGATCAAGCCAAGTCTCTGAGCTTCTTAGGTATGAAAAACATTAATTTCATTTCTTAAATAACTTCATTTTGTCCCACAAGAACCCTGACTGATAGTCTAGTAAATCACAGTAACTTATTCCATATGTTAATCTTTTGAATTTACAAGACTTTTCTTCCAAATAATTCAAAGACTCTCTCATAGACTCTCTCAAAACTTGGAGATGAAGGAGGCCTTAAGGCCTACATAAGATGGCATACTGTAAGTCAGTGACACAGCTGGGATAGGGACTCAGGTTTTCTGCCTCCCCAGCCAGCACTCCTAAGCTTCCCTGCCTCTCCTGGTATGTCTGCCTCCATCTTTCTCACACCTGAGCAGAGCCACCTGTGTCTTTCTTCCCTGAGGTGCCTCCTGTCACCATATTCTAAGCGTGGTTCCGTGCTTTTCTCATCCCCTCCACTGAGGACAGCCATGTTTTAAGAGAAGGAAGTCCAGGTGTGGGTCTTTTTTTTTTTTTTTTCCTTCAGGTGTGCGTCTTGATGGAGCCTAGGTGAGAGGCCAGGGGGGCTGAACTGTGGACACAGGACGGCTCAGAGCCCAAGGCCTTTCCTCAACCCACATCACCTCATGTGTGGATCCTTTCAGTAGCTGCTTGTGGGTCCCCCACCCCCAGTCTCTTTCTTCTTTAATTCATCTTACACAGTGTCCAAATCATCTTCCTAAAGAATCACTCCAGTCATGCCACTTTCTTGTTGAAAAACCTTCAGTGGCTCTCTGTTGCCTATAGAGCGATGTCCAAAGTGCGTCACCTAATATCCCCCAATAGCCTGAAAGGGCCTGTACCCCTTCAAGGACGACTAGCTCCTACCTAGGGAAGAATTACTCACTTGGAAGAATCAAGTCCAGAGTTTCAAATTCTATTACAGCCTCAAGTTCTATTATAATAGATGGTACACATTCTGAGCCCTGTTGGAAAGGAAAACATTGTCCCTCTCACAATGTCTAGCACCTTACTATCTTTTTGATTAATTTTAATGCTATCATACAAAAATCTTTCCCCCAGCTACCTTCTATTAGCTCACAGTTCTGTAGGTCAAAAGTTTGGGTACAGCATGGCAAGGTTCTTTGGTTAGGATCTTACAAGACCCAAGTCAAGATATCTGCTGGGCGGCATTCTTACCTGGAGCCCAGGATTTGCTTCCAGATTCAGATGGTTATGGCACATGGAAAAGGCCAAAATGCCAGAGATATTGATCTCATCATCCTGCAGCTGCTGACTAACACTAGCGCCACTAATCTCCACACAACTTGTTACATAAGGAAAATAAACCCCTGTCTGGTTTAATCCACTGCTATTTGGGTTTTCTACGATATGCTGCTGAAATCAACCCTTAACTGATACAGCTCCCATGACTATGCCATTCCTACCACTCATCCTATTTATTTAACCTAACCTCTTCAAGGGTCTTCTTCCACATCCCCTACATATTGATATTCCCCAGCTGCCATTCCTAGTCCTCTTCCCTCATTATTTCCCATGTGACTCAGTGGGGCCTGACACTTCCCAAGTCACAGTGACTCCAAATCCCAATATCTAGCCCAGACCTTTCTCCATAGCACCAGACCTACAGGTCTAAATGCCCAGGGAACATCTCTACCTGTCTGTCTCATATACAACACAATCATCACTGACTGAATTTGCTAGCTTTTCCACAGTTCTGCTCTTCCTTCTAGTCAGTGGAGCTAGAGACCTTCTCTGTTCCTCACCATCATACCCAGCTGGTCTTGATGTCCTAGCAGGTCTCTTTCCAATGGTGACAATCTCCTCCCACATCTTTAATCCTACTATTTTCTACAAGTACCCACCATCTCTTCCTGGGTCACTGCATTAGCCTCTTAACTAGGTCCTCTGCCTCCCATCTACAACTCAAATTGGTCTTTTAAAAATGCAAATCTACTCATGTCATTCCCCTTCTTGAAAGCCTTCAATGGCTCCTTGGCCCCCACAAGAAAGCATTCCAATGACTTTGCATGAACCCTACACATCTTGTCAACACCCCTTATATTACAGCTACATAAAATCACCTGCACTTTCCCAAATTTGCCATGGTTTTCCTCACTTCATTGCCCGATTATCCTCTCTGCCTTATAAGTTGGAAACTGTACAAAAACAAAGTTTCAAGTGAATATTTAAGAGCCTGACTTAGGCCCTTGTCTTCCTGCGCTTTCTCCCACCTTTGTGCAAAGAAACTCAGTGGTAAAGACCTGTCAGAATCAAAGAGAGTTTGTATTGTTTACTTAAATAATTGCTAAATTAATGAAAGAATTAATACCCTTTTAATCAAAGAATTCTCTGCAAGCCACTTCGAACCAAAATGATCAAAATAAATATCAGTTGCCTTTGTTCTCTTCTATACATTTTCATTCAAAATTTCACCTTTATCCAAAGTAACCCCTCCCTGCCCCCCCGCCAATCTGCACTCAGTGGGAAAGGAGATACTTACTTTAATGTACTAAGTATTAGGGGGTTCTTCTTTTTTTTTTTTAAGATTTTATTTATTTATTTGAGAGGGAGAGACTGAGAGAGAGAGCACATGAGAGGGGGGAGGGTCGGGAGGGTCAGAGGGAGAAGCAGACTCCCTGCCGAGCAGGGAGCCTGATGCGGGACTCGATCCAGGGACTCCAGGATCATGACCTGAGCTGAAGGCAGTCGCTTAACCAACTGAGCCACCCAGGCGCCCAGGTTTCTTCTTTTTCTTATCCTATTGAAGTTTACCTGCCAGGATCCTGGAATTTTAGGACCCAACCCCTAAAATTTTCCAGAGGAGGAAACCAAGTCTCTATTGACTCAGGATCATGGCACTGGGGAGGTGGTTATTGGTGGAACATACTAGATGCCCACTATGGATTTAGCTCATTCCATCTCACCATGAAAGCACAGACTATCTCCAGCTCACAAAGAAGGCTCCCTGTGCCTGCCAGAAGAAGAGAGCAAAGTAGCCCCCAAATAGCCAGTTAAGCTAATCCTCTTACATGACTCCACTCAAGGCAAGATGACAGCATAATGGCTTTAGGAAGAAGGAAATTAGAAGAATTATGCCGAAGGCTCCGTTTGCCTGGGGAATAGATCAGCCTTCTCCCCTCCTCTCCGACTCTGTGCCCTACCCTTAGGACCGAGGAGAGCCACTCACCCTCTGTGTGACAGGCTTGCCGTCCTGGATCTGCACGGCCAGCCCCAGGTCAGACAGCCTGCAGTTGCCGAGGTCGTCCAGAAGCACGTTCTCAGGCTTCATGTCCCGGTAGACGATGCCGAGGGAGTGGAGGTGCAGCACTCCACAGGTCATCTGGGCCGAGTAGAAGACCACCCTGCTCATGGCCAGGCCCCGCATGCCCACACTATAGATGTGGAACTTGAGGTCTCCCCCATTCATCAGGCTCATGACCAGGCAGAGATGGGACTTGCTCTCAAAGGCGTAGGCCAGAGAGACGATGAAAGGGCTGTTGACCTTTTCCAAGATTTCCTTTTCCAAAAGAGCCATTTTCTCGCCATTTTTCTTCTTCAGCCGCTTCTTGTCCAGTTTCTTACAGGCATACATCTTACCAGTGTTTTTCACCTGGACAGCACACACCTTAAGGGGAGAAAGAAGGGGAGTGGATGAGGTAGAAGAAGGAAGCACTGGAGAGGAAAGGGAGCAAGGCTGATTCAGGGTGTGGAAGGGCAGAAATCAAGGGAGGTAAAAAGACGGCAGGCTTCTGAGAAAAAGAGAAGCCGTGAGTAATAGGGGTTCTTCAGGAAAGAGCTGGGACCACCATGAGGTACCACTGTACCTCCCACTAGATGGACCATAATGAAAAATAAAGGGGAAATAGCAAGTGCCAGCAAGGAAGTGGAAAAACTGGAACCCTCATGCCTTGCTGGTGGGAACCTAAAATGTGGAAGATTTTGGTGGTTCCTCTGAAAGTTAAACATAGAATTGCCACATGACCCAGCAATTCCATTCCTGGGCAGAGACACAAGAGCAATGAAAACAGGTATTCAAATACACGTACATGAACGTTCATAGCAGCACTGTTCACGACAGCCAAAAGGTGGAAACAACCCAAGTGTCCATCAACAGATGAATGGATAAGTGAAATATAGTGTACCCATACAATAGACTAGTCAGCTATGAAAAGGAATGAAGTACTGGTAGACCTATGATGTGAATGAACCTCTAAAACACTACGCTCGGTGAAAGAAGCGCGTCTTCTTATCGCGTGACTCCATGTACACGAAACATCAGAGTCGGCAAAACCATGGAGACAGAAAGCCGACCAGGGGTTACCAGGAGCTGTTGGGAGGGGGATGGAGAGTAACTGTTAACGGGTACAGGGGTGATGAAAATGTCTTGGAACTACATAGAGGGGATGCCTACACAACATTAGTATGAATGTACTAAGTGCCACTGAATTGTATACTTTTTTGTTGTTGTTGTTAGTGGTTAATTTTACGTTATGCGAATTTTACCTCAAAACATGTCTTTCTAGTGCTCGCCTCGGCAGCACGTATACTAGAAAATGTTTTTCTACTTAAAAAAAGAAAGGGCTGACCATAGCAGTGGTATAAAACTGATTCTAGACTTTACTTCAAGATAAGTGTTTTCTCAGATATCTGAAGTTTTTCTCAAGTTACACCCATTACCACAATTAAAGGGAAAGGGAGAGCTCCCGCTGTTGTGTGTTGCTATCGTTCTCCAAAGCGTCCAGGGCACTTCAGCGTGCTTCTGGTGTAGACCCCATGATAAAGACTCTTGGCCAGCTCCACGTCTTGTTTGTCTTTCCTATGCCACTCTTATTTTATTTCACGTGGTGACCAGAAAAAAGATGTGAGAGTGAGCTAGGAATTCTCCACAGGCGGCACTGAAATTAGTTCTAAGTAAGTTCTCGTAAGATTTTTTTTTTTTTTTTTTAAAGGCAAAACAAACCCCTTTTATGCTGTGTACTTCACCTTCCAGTCTGGCCATTCTGAGACACTTACCTCCCCAAAACCACCTCTCCCCAGGACTCGGAACTCGTTGAAGGACTTTTCTGACACCGGTTGCATCTCAAAGGCTTTCCACTGCAGGAACTGGTCATAGAAGGGGCTGGCCAGGAAATCCTGGAAGGGCTGGGCCTGCAGGAAGGCCATGACCTCAGCCTTGGCCTGTGCTACCAGGGCCAGCTGCCCTTCCTCGGAGGTGGCTGCTTGGCGCTTGGCGGCCAGCGCTGGGCTGAGGAAGGGGTGCGGGTGCCCTGGAGCAGAGGCAGCCCCACAAGTGGCCACCAGCCCCTGCAGCGTGCTGCCCTTGGCGGGGCCGTCCTCGGCCAGCTCCCAGCTCTGCACCTCCTCGAGGAAGGCCACGGCCTCTTGGTATGGGGGCACCGTGGCTAGGAAGTCCCGAAAGAGGCGGCGGCCGACGGGCTGCTGCTCGCACAGGCCGTTGAAGTCCCGGGGCAGGGACTGGCGCAGCTGGGTGCAGCTCTGTGGCCCGGGCAGGGCCAGGCTCTGGCGCCGCCGCTGCAGCTCCCTGCTGTCTCCATCCGAGGTCTTCCGGGCCTGCAGGTAGGCCGTGTTGGCGATCAGGTTGTCCAGGGCCCCCGTGTCGACCATGGCTGAACACAGGGTATGCTCCCGGGAAAAGAAAAGGAAGGCTGGAAGGCTGTGGTGGGGACCCAGTCAGGTCTGGGGCCAGTTGGCCGGTTTCCCTTGCCAGGTGCAGTAGCCTGCAGAGGATTTACAGCGAGGCTTCTAGTCTGCGGGTGGGCCTGGTGGAGGGTACAGAAAGAGGTTTCTCTGGTAAGAAGCTTTGCTGGCTATGTATAGCCGGCCAGCGAAGGGCACAGCACAGGTCACGCTCCCGTCCATCGAGAGGAAAGCAGCCTGACACACCTGCGGGGGCTACTTGTTCATCATGGGGGCCTTTTCCATGCACGGCTGCTCCCTGAATACGCAGCTACCACTTTCCAAAGGAAAGGAGTCATCATAAGGTGATATACTATTTGTTGCTCACGGCATTATTTTACTAAACTGTTTCTAATTTGACATGTCTCCTAGCAGGCTCAAGCTATGTAAACTCCTAGGAATGCCAGGTCAGGAAAAGGAATGGTGAGAAGCAGGAGAGGTTTTCTTCCTTGTCCAGCAGCCCGACTCAGAGCAGGTTACAGAAGGGGATGCTCTGAACTTTGAGGCCTGAGACGTGTTCCCAGAGGTCCTCGGGGACTCACGTTGTGGCCCTCGGAGTGGGCGGTGGCTGTCCCACAGCCAGTTGCACACTGAACAGCCTGCAGAGATTGTCCAGTTATGGCTTTCCTCGTTCCCAGGAGCCTGGGACCTAAAGTGCTGGGCTAAGAAAAGGGGGGGTCATCTTGACCCAAAACATCCCATCAAGTGACATAAGCAGAAAAAGAACACCACTTCACCACATGTGGTTGCAACGGTCCTGAGGGCACAATCTATTGAGTGGAATCTGAATGTGAAGGAGCCTTCTGTGTTGAGACCCAGGGCAGGGCACTTTCAGGCGTGGCCTCTCGACATCTTTGCCAACACTCCCTCACGGAGCCAGGAAGCTTCCCTCCATGGAGATCACTCAGAGCCACCACGGACCACGACCTCACAAAGAACAGAAATTGGTTTAGACAGAGATCAGGCTAAGAACCTCTGCTCCAAAAATAACACTTGTGTCCTACAGGGCAAGAGTACTTAGGCTTTTTCTTCACAAAGCAAGGCTAAGGCAGCTTAAAAACAAAGTCATTCAGTATTATGCCAGAGTGTTTAAAAGGGAAGAAGAGAAAGAGAGAGAGAGAGAAAGGAGGAGGGGGGAAAAAGCCGGTAAGCCTTTTTCCAAACAAACAACTTCTAGCAAACACTCTGTCAAAACATCGTCATGACCGCCTCGGTCTGCCTGTCAGAGCCTGCCCACCGTTCCCCAGAGCAGATGCACGCTTGGCCTCATGCTACCAAGAATTATGTAATGAACTCGTGGGTGCCCTTTGGCTTTGCACTGCTGTGCTGTAAACCATCACCCCTATGGTAGAGATGGGTGAGCTACACCAGTGACCACTGCTCAGAAGGAACCACACCATCGGCTTTGAATCTCACACAAGAAATGTTGGTACTTTTTTTGTTCTTGATGTGTCATCCTGGGGCCACATTTCTGAGTAGTGAAAAATCAGTCTGAGAATCACTCTTCAGGAGGAAATGCCTTTTCCTGTGGTTCTTATGAATACAATGGCAATCTAACAGGGCAGAACTTTGAGAAAATGGTAGAATTGTCATCCCATGGATATTTAACCTTATCACCGAAAAAAAAAAGAATGCTTTTCACTGACGAACATACATGCTATGAACTGCTTGATTCCACTTGGACTAGTCATCTAGTCATCACTTCACCCAGCACTGTCAACAGTTTCTGTCAACAGAAATATGCGAGACCACACAGGGAGTTTAAGGTCTTCTAGTAGCCACAATAAAAAAGGTAAAGAAAAAACGAGTGAAATGAACTTTAGTAATTATTTAGCCCAGTATATGCAAAATATTATCATTTCAACATATGACTGATATAAAAGTTGCTAATGAGACATTTTACATCCTTTTTTACGTCCTGAGTTTTCAAAATATGTTTGTATTTGACACCACACATCTCAATTCAAATTACCTACATTTCAAATGCTCAGCAGACACATGTGTCCAGGGGCTACCTTATTGGACAACACAAAATTAACCCTTCCTTACCTAGTTTTGTCATTAAGTAAGAGAAATTGTTCTTAGGTTTGTTTGTTTTCTAATTAGGAATCCCATAGACCATCTATGTAAAAAAAACAAAACAAAACTCACTCTCTTATTCACTAAAAATTATCTGACTGGGGGTGCCTGGGTGGCTCAGTCGTTGAGCGTCTGCCTTCCGCTCAGGTCATGATCCCAGCGTCCTGGGATCGAGCCCCGCATCGGGCTCCCTGCTCCTCAGGAAGCCTGCTTCTCCCTCTCCCACTCCCCCTGCTTGCGTTCCCTCTCTCACTGTGTCTCTGTCTGTCAAGTACATAAATAAAAAATCTTTAAAAAAAAAAATTATCTGACTGATGAGAACACAATTTAGATAATATTTGAACACCAAGTTTAAAAGTTACACAATGACTACATGTTGCCTACTGGCAATTTAAAACAGAGTATCATTATTTTTAAGTTTTACGCATGTGAAAAAAAAAAAAGGTCTGTTTAAAATGGAACACTTTATGTGATTACTAACAATTAGGGTCCAGGGCTGTTCCCAACTTGATGAAACAGTAACTGTAGATCCAATTAAAGAACAGCACTGTATCTTTAGCTTTAAAAGCAGAGCCAAATGCTGGGCACATTCAGGATACCCTGTGTCAGTGGGGAAAAGTACCAGAAAACTTGGAGATGTGACCCAACGGGTACAAGCACTAACTCCAGCACCGCTTGGGAGAGCCGCATCTCGGCTCTAGGAAGTCCTGGCTGTGTGATATTCAGCAAATTACTTAACTTTTCTGAGCTTCGGTCTCATTATCTGAAAACGGAAATAATCAGTGTTGATTCTTGAGTAGGTTCTTTAGAGAATTAAATGCCAAATAATGGTTGGCACAGTGAACTGTACTTGCTTTTAAATGATGACTATCATCAAAACTGCATCTAAAATTATGCTTTTCTGATATGCAGAGATGAGGTAGGAGAGACCTAAGCAATGAGGAAGAAGGTGGGCTTCTGTGTGCAATGCTCACCTAGCATAGAGCAGCCAACCCAGGGTTTCATGTGACCTTGGAAAGCTGTGGGGTCTGGTGCAGCTGGAAGACAGAGAGAACAGACTCGTTAAGTGACAGCACAACGTCTAACAATAAACCGCTGCAACGAAACGATTTATGACATTCTGCCATAAACACAGAAGATTAAACTCTGTCATTTGGAAAGAGGAGATACTTCATTTTGAAAGGAAAATAAACTTTTATGATGGAGAAAACAATGAAAATATTTTACTATCTTTTATGACTAATTTTGTAACCTAGAGAAAAGAAAAAAAAAAACTCTTTACCCACATCTTCCATTACATTTGTTTTTAAAAGATTATTTATTTATTTATTCATGACAGACAGAGAGAGAGGGAGAGAGAGGCAGAGGGAGAAGCAGGCTCCCAAGGAGCAGGGAGCCCAATGCGGGACTTGATCCCAGGACCCCGAGATCATGACCCGAGCCGAAGGCAGACGCTCAACCATCTGAGCCACCCAGGCGCCCCGTCTTCCATTACATTTTGCAGCATGTGGCTTAAAGCATTATTTCTGATATGTATTTTTTTTAAGATTTTATTTATTTATTTGACAGAGAGATAGACAGAGCCAGAGAGCACAAGCAGAGGGAATGGCAGAGGGAGAGAGAGAAGCAGGCTCTGCACTGAGCAGGGAGCCTGACGCGGGGCTCGATCCCAGGACCCTGGGACCATGACCTGAGTCGAAGGCAGATGCTTAACCATCTGAGCCACCCAGGTGTCCCTGATATGTATGTTCTTAAATTTTAAAATGCTCTGATGTCATATGACATTTGAAACTCATAGAACATAAATAAAAATTAGGTTAAATTAGTAATGTGGTAGGCTTGGTTTGTTTCTCTAAGGATTTTTTTTTTTTAAAGATTTTATTTATTTATTTGAGACAGAGAGAATGAGAGACAGAGAGCATGAGAGGGAGGAGGGTCAGAGGGAGAAGCAGACTCCCTGCCGAGCAGGGAGCCCGATGCGGGACTCGATCCCGGGACTCCAGGATCATGACCTGAGCCGAAGGCAGTCGCCCAACCAACTGAGCCACCCAGGCACCCTCTCTAAGGATTTTTAACATTGAAAATACATCCTAGGATAAAGAAAATAGTAAAGCAAGGTTTCTAGAAAGAACATGACCCTCTTTTACAATCCACAGTTCTCTGCATGGCCCAATAGCACATGTATTGGAGGACGGAGAATTATGAAATAATACAACTTGATATGATGTGATCTCAGAAACAAGATCTTTTGAACATTGAATGTAAGTTCTGAAGCAGATTAATAGGTTAGCATTAGGATACCCAAAGAAGCCAGATTATTCCTCAACTTCTGACTTAAATCTTTCCATAGTAAAGATTTTGCTTTTTTCTTTTAGTAGAAGCCCTCTACTGGAAGGAAAAGCAAAAGAGTCTTTATACTTCCAACAACAGCTGAGCACACTTTATATTTTAATGATTTGAGGAAGTCAAGGATATCTTATTGGTTAAAATTTGTTGAATGGGGGCGCCTGGGTGGCTCAGTTGTTCAGCATCTGCCTTCGGCTCGGGTCATTATCCCAGGGTACTGGGATGGAGCCCCGCATCAGGCTCCCTGCTCCGCGGGAAGCCTGCTTCTCCCTCTCCCACTCCCCCTGCTTGTATTCCCTTTTTCGCTGTGTCTCTCTGTCAAATAAATAAATAAAATCTTAAAAAATAAATAAATTAATTAATAAAATTTGTTGAATACTAAACAGAGAACCTAGGGAGCTAGATAAATTGTAGACTACTGTTTCAATGTGGTTATAGAGTTTTCTCACAAAAAATTAGTCTTCAAGCACTTTGTCTTTTCTGTTGAAATACTGAATAGTAAGACCAATGGGTGGTCCAGCTAGATTTTCTGCAACAGAGTTCTAGAGACATCTGAAGTTTTCTTAGGGAAATTAGAAAGGAGTGATACACAAGGTATTTTCAGAGAACTAAGTATAAAAATCATACAGGAGATGAAAATCACAATTTTATCACACCATTTTTAGAGATCTTTTGTTATGGAAAATCTCAAACATACATAAAAGTACAGAGAATAGTAAAATGAACTTCCCCATACTCATCACCCAACTTTATTATTGGCATTATTAGCATTTTGCCAATTTTCTTTCATTTTCATCGAACACCCTCTTGTATTGTTTGTTCTTTTTTTTTTTTTTTTTTGAGAAAGAGAGAGAGAGAGCATGAGGGTGGGTGAGGGGCAGAGGGAGAGGGAAAGAGAATCTTAAGTGGGCTCCACACCCAGGGCAGAGGCTGATGCGGGCAATCCCACAACCCTGAGATCAGGACCTGAGCCAAAATCAAGAGTTGGACGCTTAACCAACTGAGCTACCCAGGCGCCCCTCTTTTTTTTTTTTAACAATTTAATTTTTTCAGATCAGTTTTTGATTCACGCAAAATTAAGAGGAAGGTACAGAGATTTTCCATATACTCCCTGCCCCACAACATGCACAGCCTCCCCCACTATCAACATCCCCCTCCCCTTCCAAGTGGTACATTTGTTACAATTAATGAATCTATACTGACACATCATAATCACCCAAAGTTCATATTTTACAGTGGGGTCTTCCTACCACCCCTTTTTTTCCTGCTGGATTATTTTAAAGAAGATCCCATGTCATTATATCTGTAAATGCTTTGGTATTTATATATACCACATATACATACATGTTTGTATACATACACATATTATATATTTATATTTTATATAATATAACAAGCAGGGGTTGGTGAAGCAGCTTAGAGATTAGCCCTTAGCAGAAAGCTGCTCCCAACCTGAGGACTGGAGGGTCAAAGGGGAGATGAGGTGTGTTACTAGAGCCCTTGGGCCACAAATGCATAATGACCCACAGAACCATGATGGGCTGTAGTGGGTTGAATGATATGTTCAAGTCCTAAACCCCGGTACCCGTGAATGTACCTTATTTGGGAAAAGGGACTTTGCAGATGTAATCAAGTTAAGATGAGGTTATACTAGATTGGGGGTGGGTGGGTAAATAACTGGTATCTTTATAAGAAAAGAGAGAGATGTGGATTAAGAGACACACAGAGACTAGGCAATATAAAGATGGAAGCAGAGATTGGAGGGATGCATTTATAGGCCAAGGAATGTCAAAGATTACCAACAACCACCAGAAGTTAGGAGAGAGACATAGAATGGACTCTCCCTCAGAGCCTGCAGAAGGACCCAACCCTGCTGACACCTTGCTTTTGGACTTCTGGTCTTCTGAACTGTGAGAGAATAAATTTCACTCGTTGCAAAGCACCCAGTTTGTGGTAATTCATTACAGCAATCATAGGAAAGTAATACAGGGGCTGTGTGGTAGAAGCTGGGGCCAGGGAGGCAGAGTTTGTCCAGTGGGAGCTGAGATGTCAGAGAAGATGCCGCCAGAGATGCCACCTGAACCTGAGAGAGACAGGAGAGAAACCCTAGTATCCTGTCGTCATCAGCAGAATCTGGCCAGAAGCCGGGAGGCAAGTGCTAACGGGCTGAACTGCTTGCCTCCAAATTCATATGTTGAAACCTTAACCCTCAATGCCACTGTATCTGGAGATGGGGCTGTTATGAGGGAATTAAGGTCAAATGAGATCATAAGAGTGGGGCCCTATAGAACTTATGGCCTTATAAGGAGGGGAAGATCCCTCTCCACTACCCCCACACCTGCCATGTGAGGACCCAGCAAAAAGGGAGACTCCAAACCAGGAAGAGTGCTCTCTTCAGAACCCAACTATGCTGGCACCCTGATCTTGAACTTCCAGCCTCCAGAACTGTGAGAAAATAAATTTCTGTTGTGTAAGCCACCCAGTCTATGGTAGTTTGCTGTGGCAGCCAGAGCAGGCTAATACAGCAAGGGAGGATGGGAGGTGAGCCCCCAGGGATACAGATCAGAAAAGGGCAAAGTCAGAGAAAGTATCTGTGAGCAAATAGGCCAGTGATCAGTGTAATGATTGTGCCATTCTCACCCTTAATACAATTACCAATATTCTTTAATATGATCTATTATCCAGAAACAAA